CTGAGCAAAGATGCGACGGTGGCCAAGGACGAGTTCATATTGGCGCATGCGCGCGTCCTGCAGGAGGAGCAGCAGCTGGAGATGCTGGACGAAACGGAGTCCGTTCTGTCAGAGGAGCAGTTCAAGTGCTGGGAATACATGCTCGAGCAGAACACCCAGCTGCTGTTCGACAAGGAGCTGAACACCATCTCGAAGTCGTTCTCCAAGCAGCGACTGCCCACAGCCAAACTGACAGCGGCCGACGGCAACGATCTGAAGTCGAATCTCATACGCAACGTGGCCAACAAGTTCATCTCGAGCAGCACGCCCCAGCTGACCCAGGCGCACGTTCCACTGAGCGCCTATCAGCCCATCATGAAGCAGCTACCCACCGAGTACTTTGGCAGCATGCGCTCCTTCCAGCAGTCGCCCAACTATGGCTACAATCTCTTCGATGGCAAGTCGCGGGATGCCTACGCGAAGCTGGGCGGCGGGCCACATGCCGCCTACTTCGGTTCCCTGCAGCGACGTATGCCCTGCAACCTGGAATATGACTTCCCGGTGACGCAGGAGAGGGATCACAATATATTGGATGAGGAGGAGCTGGACGAGGATGGCTTTACGGAGCATGAGAGTCGCATGCGAAAATACTGGGGCGTGGCAACAACAGAGCTGTAGGAGAGGGTCTCCATATCTACATATATTATAGAGTAGCGTTAGGAAAGCTGCAAGAAAAGTTATATAAATATTATATAAAATAAAAGACAACTTTTTAATATGTTTGTGTTGTTATTATTATGATTTATTATTTATATTATTCTCATTTTCATCATTATTAAAAATTTTTTGTATAATTCTTATTCCGTAAAATCTCTTGGCTGCTTTTAAAATAACTGAAATCGTTGTAGCCCTCTATTGGCGAGAAGCGTAAGCTGTGAGCAGAAAGGCTAGTATGAAATTTAAATTGAACGATAATAAAGCAGTTTAAATTCTGCGGTGTTTCAGTGCTGCCAGCTTAGCCTGTTTCACGCTAGATCTAGACTATAAATATTTCTGTACATAAGCTATGTATAAGCTCTTTGTCAGTCTCACTTTCTGTCTCCCTGCCTTCCTTTCAATATACCAAAATTAAGCAAAAGAAGAAGAAGAAGTACAGAAGATCATTTAAGTTGTTTGTATGTATGCAGCAGTATTCACTACCCATTTAGATTTATTTAGAGTGCTAGCAGCAGGAGAGAGTGTTCCCATTGGTCAATTAAAACTCAACTGCAACGACCTCTACCTGTCGTCGGACTCAACTGATAGACTGAAGTCGCCCTATATAAAGGCTACCGGCGGCAGCATTTCTTCAGTTCCCCAGACCCGGTGGTTGCAGTCGTGCAAGTGTCAAGTGAGGTGAAGACTGTGTAAGTATCTAATCATCGTTCAACGAAGCAATTAAGACTTGGAGCAAATGCTTAAAGGAAATACTTAACAGAAATAACTAGAGGGAATACTGAAAAGAACTTCTTGGATGCAGTTCTCAGAGTAAATATTATACTTAGTTTTGTCTGTCTACATAATTGTGCCAATTTTGTTAGTTTTTATTATTTTACTTTATTCTATTAACCAGCATTTCTTACTACATTTTACCTTCTTTCAGGCTACTTATATTTTATAGTCAAACTTATTCGGAGTTCAGCTGTATTTGAACTGCTTACTGTCCTGCACAGCTTGGATTCCGAACTGCTTGACAGTTGTCGCTTTCTGCTGATAGATGGCTACCATTCTTATACAAGCTGTTGGAGATTTTCCGCAGTTTGCACTGTTTGCCGACAGAGGGCTAACCTATTGTCCACATATTAAACAGGAAGACTTAATTAGGTTAATTACCAAATAAGCTATAGATGTGCATTTGGAGAATGCAAGGTAAGTATTAACATATACTATTAAACAGTAGCTTTATGTAAGTCTTAAGTAATTTAAATTCGCAAAATTTTAATTACGATCTTTGATCTGATTACTCAAGGCGGCATCAAATAAGCCCAAACAAGCAAAAGTGCCCATTAAAATTGAGAACTTAATTTAACAAGCATATAATTCGCACACCCACACACACACAAACACGCACACACACATGCACAGACATCGAAACGCATACGCACTTAAGTTTATCCCTGTAATAAGGACACTCCTCAGACATATATAGGCAGAGACTTGCGCCCCGTATTTGTAAGGTCACTGAGGCGAATAATTCATGTCAATATCAGAACTCATTTACTTGCGGTTGTTTTTAGCGACGCGTTGCGAAAGAAAATTCATCTAAATGCCAACGACATCAATGGGGCGAATGCTGGAGAGAGGGAGATGGTGATGGAGAGCACGGCAGAGGGGGGCGTGCGGGTTGCCAGAGAGATAGATTTGCGTGTGGCTTTCTAATCATTGCGAATCGCTCAAGTGTATTACCGTTATAGGCCGCCTTAACAAGACGAGCGGCTGCACTGCGCTGGGCAAATATGAAACTTTTGTTCAAGCACATCCGTTATCCGATTCCCAAGTAGTGAAGTCTATTGCTCAAAAGACAGGCGACTAATTTTAATTACTTTTTCACTCCCATTTACTTACACTTGTTGCCCATCAGTTAAAACCCAACTTCCCGTCGAACTCGCACTCGAACTGAAATGACAACTCCATTTTCATTCACCACTTCCTAACCATTTTCATTTGGGCACATTTTCCACTTGAAAGCTCTCCATGGCCGCCCCCGCCAACGCCAACGCCTGGTCACACTGATGTCTATCACAATGCCCATTACAACTTATTGCTGTGGCTACTTTTAATACACTAAATTAACTTTTTGGGTCTTCGCGCCCATTCCCCTAGTCCCCGTTCCCCATTCCCCGTTCCCCAAAAGGGCCCGTGGCCCGTGGCCACACAACAAGCGCCACGATTTGTCACCAATCCGCAGACGACGCGGACTTTATCTGCCGTTTATCTCGCTAGTGTTGATAAATGGCTTTGTGGTAATTAATTTGGCGTGAATGAAGCACAGGAAATAGGATAAAAATTAACTTGAAAGCATAGCGTTAGGCAAGCATATAAAAATATATATATATTTAACTAGTCTAACATATATATGTACAAATAAAAAACATATAAATATACATATAAGTATATATAACTACTACTCTAGTCTAATGAAAATGAAAATATAATATTTTTAATTAAAAATAATAAATAAAAATACAACTTTAATTACTATAAAATGAAATATTATTAAATAATAATAGATTATAATTATGTCAAATATTTAAAAACTAAACTACATTAGATGGTAGATAAATATTTTGTATTCTATTTATATATATATATTTTATAAATTCTATTGTGTAAAGTTTCGCAAACCATTTATATATCATTGTAATATTAAACAATATAATATTCTTCAAGGTTTCCCATAGCCTAACTAAATCAATTTTCCAAAAACATCATAAACAAAGAGTAGACCCAACTATATATAATACGTATAATTCAATTGCATTCCGAAATCAGTTAATAAAGCATCTCTGCCTGTGCAAATGCTGAGCCGTTAGGAGCGGATGCTGTTTTACCTGGCAAGTGGTTAGGCAACCTAACCTATCAACACACATCCTGCTACCGCTCAGACACCTCCGAAACTTTTCTCATTATGTGTATCCACACGCACATGGCATAGAAGTTGCCGGCTGCGAGTTTCCTGCCAGAGTCCCGACAGGCAGCAGGAGCAGCTTCAGCTACTCCGCCCCTCCGTCCCGCCTGCCAGCCTGCTAGCCCGCTGCCCGCCACAATGCCTGAGCAACGCATCGGCGCTTTCAATGACTTCCGTCATCGCCGACACACTCGACGTGTAAATTTGCATTTGCTTCTAATTACGAGGAGCAGCACGAGGCGCCGAAAGAAAAACTACAGATGCTGGCTGCCACGCCCTGCAGCCCGCATTAGCAGCAACAGCAACAGCAGCAGTCGCTGAAGCAGCAGCAGCAGACGCTTGTGGCAATTGCAATTTAGAATTTCAATTATATTTATATTTTTATGAGGGCTGCCTAGCTAACTCAGCCCCACACCCCCCTCCCCACCCCACAGTCAGCCCCACCCTGAGCACACGGAAACACTACAAATCAAGTGCCACGCACGCAAATTTCCTTTAATTAAAACTAAACTTTTAAGAGTTTTGCCTACGGCTCCTCCCAGTGCAGTGCTCCTTATCAGATCTGCATCTGCATCCGTATCCGCATCGGCATCGGCATTTGCATCTGCATTTGGTAAGCACCGGAAAATTGCTTGGCTTCAACTTACGGCAACTTTGGGTTAGGCGATGTCATCTAACAGTTGTATTTGTTGCCACTCGACTTGACGCCAACTTTTACCGAGAGCCTTTCTTAGAGTAAAGTCCAAAAATAATGATGCCAGCTCGAGGTGTCTATGTGCTTCACTGTGGGGTGTTCATGTGTGTGTGAGTGTGGTTTGTTGAGCATGCAAACTTTTCTTCAACGCAATAGAGTGTACTATTTCTTGGGAAGTCTTCAAGAAATAGTGCTCTTTCCGGTATACTTTTAGTAAAGAACTCTTTAGCCGCTCAAGTATCTTATCCTGAACAGTAATTACAGACGTCAACAGGATTTCATTAGGAATTGCAGCTCGCAACAATGGATATTTATTGGAGTCAGCTATATCTTTAATCCCAAAATAGAATAATAACTAATAAATAGTATGTAATCTAATCATGCTACTCAATATATTCGCTTCTATCAAAGTGCATTTTTTTTTATTTTTATTTATAGTAGGCCGTGCAAATTGCAAATAGTTCGCTTTAATCACTTTAAAACATTTAACCTACTACATTTTATACAACACTTGTGATTTAGGGATTTTGTGAACAAACTTTTTGGAACTGCTATGAAAACGGTCTCTTCCACACAATCAACACTCTGATCCAATCCAGTTGCAAATTATAATTGAAATAAAGCAGATATTTTGACAGACACCTATACGTATATATATATATATATATTTGGGTGCTTGGGTACATCCATTGTGCAGCCATTATTCGGATGTGATCAGTATATCATTGCATTCATTGACATACGCAACGATATCATTTCGAACATATTGCCTGAGCACAATACTCCGTTAACAGGCCCAACCGGGTGAGCATTTTCCCATAACTATTTTCTTATAATTTTCCAATTTCCGTTGCCTCTTTGCAATTGCAGAAATCTTTGCTTATACATATATTTCATAAACGTAAGCAATTTACTACTATATGGAGGTGCTAGCGATTGGCGATAAGATCAACATCAGGCGATCCGACGGATGCATCCAGGCGGCATCGGTCGGATTGAAGAGTCCCGAACGACAGATGGTGACCGTTGAATGGACCCAAGGCAGCAAGGTGAAGGGCAAGGAAATACCCTGGGGCACTATACTGGAGCTCAATCCGTTTCTGGCGAAGTTCAGGCAGAAGCAGCAGTCGCCGCCCGACAAAAAGGAGCCACCCAAGGCCGAAGCGAAGCCGCACAATCTCTCCGGCTACACCATGTACCGGAAGAAGCCGACGAACAGCAGTCCGTACAAGAAGCGTATGCGCAGTCGTTGCGATAGCGCCGTCAATGTGCCGGCTTCCATCAAGACCGCGAAGCCCGTCAAGCCCCTCAAGCCCATCAAGCCCATCAAGTCACCGGCTGTTCATCCTGTTCGTCTTGGCAATCCCGTCAATGCGGAGCCGAGGGGCGTCAGGGGCGCATCGAGCACGGCCAGCATTAAGCGCTCGAGCGTTGTGCGCGAGGTGGAGCGCCTGAAGGAGCAGCGTGAGCGTCGCCGTGCCTGGCAGGCCGAGCAGCGGCGGGAGCAGAGTGTCCTCATGAACAAAGATCCGGGCAATCCCAACTGGGAGGTGGCGCTGATGGTGCGCAATTATCGTGGGCAGCTCCACATGAATCCGCTGCGCTGCCTGAGCTCACGCGGCGCACGCACCCAGCAGATAACCGTGTGCGTGCGCAAGCGTCCGATGAGCCGGCGCGAGCTGCAGTCGAAGGCCGTGGACATCATATCGGTGCCCAGTCGCAGTTCGCTGATCGTGCACGAGCTGCGCAACAAGGTGGATCTGACCAAGTTCCTGGAGCACCACAAGTTCCGCTTCGACTACACCTTTGACGAGCAGTGCAGCAACGCGCTGGTCTACGAGCACACCGCTCGACCCCTGATCCGCACCATGTTCGAGGGCGGCAATGCCACGTGCTTTGCCTACGGCCAGACGGGTAGCGGCAAGACCCACACCATGGGCGGCGAGTTCTGTGGCAAGACGCAGGACTGCACCACCGGCATTTATGCTCTGGCCGCTCAGGATGTGTTCGCTGAGCTGGACAAGCCCAAGTATCGCGAAATGGGCGCCAGTGTTACGTGCAGCTACTTTGAGATCTACGGCAGCAAGGTAAGGGTACAGTCTGCGAGCATAATCAATCGATAATCGATTAATAGAGGAGGGATCACTTGTCGATTCTCATTTATATAATCTATAGTAGATCGATAGCAGATGATCTTCTGATCATCCTTCTAGTTACCCTTTGAGGAGTACAATGAACTCTAATTGAAATCTATTCAAACAGGTCTTTGATTTGCTGCTGCCGGAGAAGCCGATGCTGCGCGTGCTCGAGGACGGTCGTCAGCAGGTGGTGATCGTTGGCCTGACCCGTATGCCTGTGAAGAAGGTGGAGGATGTGCTGGCAGTCATCGAGCAGGGCAATCGGGAGCGCACCTCCGGCCAGACTTCGGTGAATATCAAGTCGTCGCGCTCGCATGCCGTCTTCCAGATGGGGCTGGTGTTGCCCGACGATACGGAGCCGTGCGGCAAGTGCTCCTTTGTGGATCTGGCTGGCAATGAGCGCGGCGCGGACACACAGTCGGCCAATCTGCAGACACGTCGCGAGGGCGCCGAAATAAACAAGTCTCTGCTGGCGCTGAAGGAGTGCATTCGCGCCTTGAGTCGCCATTCGAGCCATCTGCCCTTCCGGGGCTCCAAGCTGACGCAGGTGTTGCGCGACTCCTTTATTGGGGGCGAGCAGAACAAGACGTGTATGATAGCCATGATATCGCCGGGCCTGAGCTCGGTGGAGAACACACTGAACACCCTACGCTATGCGGATCGTGTCAAGGAATTGGTAGCCAAGGACGATGATTTGGTGGAAACGGACAGCGAGCAGCCAAGCAAAAATGACGAAACAAGCTCAGCCAACGAGGACGGCAAGCCGGAGCAGGAGACAGACACCGAGTCGGATGAGTTCGAGGCGGAGGTCAATGATGAGCCCGGCAGCTTTAATGACTTCAAGTCAAGCCAGAGCTCGGATGCCACCAGCTCGTTCCGAAAATTCGATAGCCAGCAGTCATTGAGCGACGCAGACGGCGAATCCAATGGCGAGTCTGGAGCACGCTCTCAAATATCGGAGATTCTAATGCAGCACGAGGTAATGTTCGAGTTCTTCAACAATTACAAAATGCGCTTTGAGGCGGCTGTCAGTGAGGAAGCGTCCCTCGAAAAGAGCGAGCGTATAACCAAATTTCTGCTGGACGGGGAGCCAATAATTTGCGAGTTGGCGATTCTGGTGAAGCATGCACACGATCTGATCTCGAACTTCAATTCTCAGCGATTCTCAGAGAGCGACCTGGCGGAGAGCGATGACGCGCAACAGTTTTCAGATTAAGACTTCGAGAATTGGGACCTCGCCAACAACATCCAAAACCATTTATTTATTTTATATCGCACTGTATGACAATTGCAATGTGGATCTTCGAAAGAATTATAAAAATTTCATAAGAGGCAGTACATTTAATTAGAAATGATTTCAATTATTATTAATATACTAGAGATAGAGATAGAGATAGAGATAGAGATAGAGATAGAGATAGAGATAGAGATACAAATATGTAGACATAGATAGAATTTTGCTTGAATTTAGTGAATATTAGCTTTCCCAATATGTATTTCCATAAACTTGCTAAGATGCGAGGAAAATGTAACCCGTTGCCCATATATCAAAAGTAAATTCAATTTCTTACACACGCATATTTGTCGAAAGTGTAGTTGAAAGCACTTTTGCCGCCCGGTGAGTGAAATGCAGTGCAAAAACTTTGCGCTCACATTGTGAGCAGAGCAGCTGAGATATGAATATGAGTTAGTCGGGTTTATCGCAATGCAAAATGTCTGCGCGATGGCAGTCAATTGCTCATTGACTTGGCACACGACTTGGCCGGCTAGCGAGTGCTTAGACTAGCTGACTAGTTGACTAGCTGGGCCGTAAGCCTTGGTAAAATGCCAAAGCCGAGATGCAGCTGTGGCAGCGGCGACAACAAGGACAAGAATACGAGGATGAGAATGGAAATGGGAATGGGAATGGGAATGGGTGTGGAAAGGGGGCTACGTATGGTGGAAAACAAAGTTCAGGGCAATAGATACGAGGCAGGAATGTGAGTTTTGGTTTAGTTGAAGTTTAGTTTACGTGCGCGTGGATTTCAAGCTGTGCGCGCACATAAGTTTGCGGCTTAAGCATGTGAAATTCATAAGAGCACAGCCGGATGGCAGCAAAACGAACTGCCACACATCGCCCACCCCCCCACGCCCAATAACTTCCCGCACATCCACAGGCGAACTCTCAACCCTTGCCGCTTGGCTCGCGTTTTCACCTGTATCCACATAAAATACAGCACTAGCTAATGCATTTGCCAGCCACCTTCTAAATAACCCCAACGTACAACCCACACGCAACCTGGGAGCCAGCCAGGCAACCAGGCAGACAGGCAGGCAGGCAGGCAACCAGGCAGCTAGTCAAAAAGTTACCACATGAAAAGTTTAAAATTAAATGTAGCCGGATTTTCTAGCTGAATTCCTTTCATTCCACAAACCCCTTTCACATATGCTATAGATGAGCCAAAAATAAAGGGGAAAATTAACTGTGACAGGGGTTCGTTTGGAAGCTGTGAAAGAACTCCATCTGATGTTTGCTTTAAAAATTATTATTTCATTATTATTCAAAGATATATCTTTCTTAAGGAATCGGTGAAAATTTAGTTTTTAGTCTTCAAAAAATGTTTTAAAGACGACAATCGTAGCTCATATCAATTTTCCATTTTCTTTTCCATCTGCTTTCATAACCAACGATTTTCTTTAACTTCATTTCAGAAGCTTCGCGTTTCTTGGCCGTGCAAACTTTTAGCCAAGCTCCGCGTGCTGTCTTTAATTATGTTTAAGCCTAATAGAATATAATTTGAGCAAAATTATTGAAAATTGACGGTAATTGAAATGAATTTGAACAAATTTGAATGCATGGCCAAGTGTCGTGTTGGGCAACCATCAAAATGCCGAAAAGTGTTCAAACCAGACGATTCAACTCAACTCAAGTCGATTCAATGGCACGCGACATTGACTGAGGGAAAGGCTGCAAGTGGCGGAAGGACTGCAATTTGGACTGGGTGAAAGGAAGCCATAAGCGGCTATTAGACATTTTACTCAAGCTGTGGAAATTATGGAGACCCTCTCTATGATTAGGTGCACTGTTGTGGATTTTGGAATATGCTAAGGTTGAGGATATGTGAACGGACAGTGAGAATATGGAAAAGTAACAAATTGAAATGACAAACGGAGAAGGAGGTTAGTTTGATTTTCTCATATATTTTGAAATAGTTGTACCTACTATGCTTTGCTAGCAAACTTACCTCCAGACTGATACATATATGTAAAGTTTACTCTATAAAATTCATTCTCATTAGATCGGGTTCGTTAAACAGATGAAACACTTATAAATCTGTAATTAGAAAAAACTTTACAAATGCAAAAGCTTGCTTTCGTTTGCCACGATTTCAACTTATGTATGTCGATATATGTAAATATATACACATACATACAAGTACTATTTCCCTTGCTTTTCAGCTACAATGTGAAGGGTCGATTGCAAACTAAACTCAATAAATATAAAAATAAATTAACTGCAACTAAATGAGCCAAATAAATTCATTTACCGCTTACACGCGTCACTAGTGCTGCAATGCACAGCTTTCACTGGTCCCTCATTCGGAGAGCAGTCCCATACTCTCTTTTTCGCCCTCTCTCTCTCTCTCTCTCTCTGTTATTCTCTCTCTGTATATCTTTCTTGCTCCCCTTCTCCGTACAAACACGTATCCACTAAACTCAATTGCCGGCGGCTACCCCAGCGCATTGGGGAGCAAAGCCAAGTGCAGTCTGCACTTTGGGGAATCCAAGCTGCCACGACTACAGCAAGATGGCAGGAAAAAAACAGCAACAACAATTTCCAAGGCGTCAGTTGAGAGTCACACGGGTTACACTTTACTCGCTGCCAGCTGCAGGTGATTCTTTTATAACGAACCCCCAATTTCCCGCAATAGTGTCTGCTCCACCACGACTGACGGAATTTCGTTTGCTCTGCTCTTGTCAGGTAACTCTCAAAAGTATCTTTTAACTAATTCAATTGGATTTTTTTTTTTTGCAACCATACGTAACCATCTATAGTGTCGTGAAATTTCAATTGATTGCAATGAATATATTTACAAGACACTTTTAAATTATTAATCTGTAAGGTGTCTTAAACAAGATATTACATTTTTTATTTAGCACCAAAACACATCCATTTCAATTATCAAGTGTACGTGAGCTACCTTTCTCGCTCACGTTCACAACAATTGCCATGTCTACTCTTTATATTGGCTACACTTCTTTTTCCCGCACATGTACACACTTATCGAAGTGAGATCAGCCGACACATTCGCACTCACATACATACAAATTGTACAAGCCTGCATTTAAAACAAGAACTCTCAGTAATTGAGTTTCGTTCAACTCTCCATGCACTTTCTGCAGACGCTGGCCTGCCGTCTCACTCGAACGCATAAAAGAGAATACTGGTCATTCGCCATTGCGAGTAAGCATTCTTTTCTACTCTCCACTCTCCACAGCAATCCAAGTCTGCCATTAATATACACACTATTGCACTGCAGTGCAATGTGCTGCTCACTCTTCAGTTGACTCATGTTTGCTGTTGCTTTGTCTGCTTTGAATTGATCATAGATGGCGCACATAACTTATTTTCTTTTAAAACCAAATAAAAATGCTTGGTATAAATAAAAACAAATTTCTTAATAATTGAATATATATATATTACATATTAATATTTTATTGTATATGTATTTTAGAGGTAATATAATATATTCATAAAATCATGTTGCCCACTGCAAGTTAAATGAATAAAAGTCTACATACATATACATATAAGTACATACACACATATATATTATACATATGTAAATACATATATATGTACATGCTAATGTGTATCCGATTTTGAGACGTTTGCGTGAGTCATGAATCAGTGCTTAGTCCCGTTGTTTTTTTTTGCCTGCTTCTTGCTTGCCTCGGTCTGTACTCTCACGATAATTTCAATATGAAAATGGAGTGAAATTATAACAGAATTCGAGATTCAGTTAAGAACAACATTAGTTCTTCTCAAATACATATTTGTTTAAGTATATTCGATTTATTAGAAAGCCTTTGCTGTTACCCCGCTTGCGATGTTGGCCAATTGTGTTCATGGCCAATTGTTATGGCCAAAGTTTTGCTGGGTTGTGTGTCTAAGTCGAATTCGCCAAACTCTAATGAGTATTATCGCTCGAAAATCTGAGTCGCAGCTATATCGAACTAATGCTCCGTTGTGTGGCGCTTTGGCTCTAAGTGTCTTACCCCATATCCTCTGGCCATGCACCATCAAACTCATTAAGCAAAAACCCTTTGGCTGCTCTGCGCCAATTTCGGTTCGGCTTGTAATGACTTCATCTTTGTGGTTCTTTCTCTCACTGTGAGGACAATTTGGCAGCGCTCTCATAGCCATTGCCCTGGCGTCTGTCAGCAACAACAACAACAGCAACAATTAGAAATACAATTTTCTTTAGTTGTGGCTATGGAATACCCTCGTTTAATACGTACAAACGTGGAAATGTTAGACAATGCTTTGATTATTACCTGCTACTCTTTAAATATTCTTATTCTTAATTAAAAATATATGGGATTCTTATTCCATTTCATTATATACCATTACTTGATACTCCTTGATGCACTGCCAAAAGCCCTGTTTATCCACTTAGCAATGTATACAGAGTATTGTAATAGCAACAGCAACGGCATCGAGCACACAAAACGCAACATTCGCAACTACAAACAACTTTTTAATTGCAATTAAATACGTAACAAGTTTTTAGTTGTAAGTGCGCAGAACTTCGCCTCGCATCAGAGTTCTCGCAGTGGCCATTGTTGTTGCTCCTTGGTCTGTTTCTTCTTGTTTTGTCCTTGTTGTTGCGGTTGCTATCGACATCAGCTATCTTCTCTACATACATATACATATATATGAAATTGTCTTTCTCTATCTCTCTCTATGTGTGCGATGGTTGGTGTTGTCTAAAATTGAGTTGTGCTCTTTGGGGTTTTAATTGTTAATTGTTAGCTGGGGCCCACGGTTGACGTTGATGACAACTTTCCGTTCCGTTCCGTTCCCAAAGCGAGCGAGCAAGCAAGATTATTGACGTGTTTAATGGCCAACAAGCGAAACGCTGCGTACGAATGGTTTCAGTCAGGGATTAGAGCTTCAGATCCTTAAGCTTCTAAGCCATTCCACGTTTAAGCGCAATCAAACAATATCACATTTTACATTCAAAGCATTATTTTCAGTAACTTTATTATGTGGCCCCCCTAATGCACTTTCAGTTAGGTCCTTTAGGTCTTTTGTGGCGCGTGGATTAAAACCGAGTCCTTTGTGGTGGATAATATTCT